CGGGACTTATCAATGCCCGCGGTTCACGGGCGCTTCCACAGTAGTATGGATTCTGTACATCTGGGCCTAAGCCCTCCTCCGTGCAAGCACAGATTTGAACCCGCTCACTCAGACTGTCCCTGAGGACAGTCAAACAAAGTGATGCCTTATATATATATCTTCTTCTGATCCTTCTTGGCCACCTTGCACAGGTGGGAAAGAAACAAAAACGATGGGCGGGAGAATGGGAAAAGAGGAAAGGGGGAGCAAAACGACAGCTGCCCGCTATCGGGCAGTTTTTCTTGCGAGATAATCCTCTCCATCAGCGCTCATTGCACACTGCGCGGGTGGCTGGCCTCACCCCGTTAACTGGCGTGCTGTGAACGAACCGGTAAAAAAGTGGGTCAAATATTTATCTTGTGGACTTTTTGTCTCATTCAACCCCTATTGCAATCTGATAAGAAGCTTCCATCTGAAGACGTAGTTGCATCAGTACCGTACGGTTTTAGGGTAGCACCAATCAAGTTAAGTCCTGCATGGGCTGCAGCAAACAATCCAGCGACCCACCCCAGGAACACACGTTGTGGGAAAATGCCGAAACGACTTTGTGGAATGTACGCACTGAAGGATGCAGCCATATTAAAAAATTCTCAACCGACTTCCCTCTTCTGTTGTACCCCCCCTTTAGCCTGTGGGCAGGTCAACTGAACCCAGTGACCTGCTGATCTGGCAAGAGAGGATTTCTCATTGGTTGGCACTGACGAAGATGGTTTTGTTTTTCGCTTGTTGTGCAGATGGAGTATGGTATGCGAGTTGCACGGATGTGTGTGTGGATGTCAGCATTTGTGGTTGGGACAGCCGAGGTCAAGCGTATTTGTTTCAGTATTGCCGACACTATTGCGAGAGCACAGCAAGTGCAACAGATGCAAAAGGAGCGATCACGGCAGCGTAAGAGCGAGAACCCATGGTTGAACTGCAAATCAGAGGAGCAGAGATCGTGGTGGCCGTTGGGATGGGGTTACGGTACACGCACATCAGCTTCTCCGAATGTGTCTAAGCCGCCGAAGGTTGTTGATGTATCAGTATTGGAACCCAACGTGTCGCTTCCACAGACACCAAGACCGTTCACTCTGCCACCACCTGGGGGTCCACAACTGGATTTCGACATTGAAGCAGGTCAGGTTGTAAGGAAATAACTTAGAAGGAATGAAGAGGAATGATGGGGATGAACAAAAGAGGCAGCAAATCTTCCTTCGTCAACCCGTTTAATGTATAAACCCGTCTTTCTGGCGAAGCTGAGTGATACAGTTATGTGAAAATGTGTTGTGACACATGCTCTAGAAAGTGCCCCTTGTGTCTGTAGTAGAGAGGACCCTTGGCAGTGCACTTGGGGTGTCGAAGACTGACAGTTACCGAGGCCATCGCTGGGTTCGATATTTCCATGCTTGGGGAAATGTGCTCCTTTCTCAGGCCTGCTGTAGTAGCCTACCCTGGCCTTACTGCGTGCTGCCCTCGACTGCACAGGACAGGTGGTTATGTTGGACACGAAAGCTTTAGAAATTGAAGAGCAGCGCAGGGAGGAACAGAGATTGCAGGCTACCGTGATCGACAAAACAGGTATGTGCATGTTTACAGGATATATAGATTGGGTAGGGGGCAAGCAATCAGGTATGAGAAGCCGATTACTTTACTTTTGGGTACCCAGTGCGGTGTTGCTGTGTACAATATGTGTTCGGTTGTTGTTGGCGTTGCATCAGTACTACTGTGGCTCCTTATGTTCATGCGCTTCCCTTTCCCAGATTGATACTGTACCAGCCTCAACAAGAGCATGTGCAAATGTTCGATAACCAAGAGCATGATCAGTCGTGCTCAGAACGTTTTGTTGTCAGGGGATTTGGTTTTGGCGCTTTGGCAGCTGAATATTGAAATAGCACCAGGAGCTGGACGTGTGAAGCGCGAAGGTGGGTGAAGCCCTGAACGCGTCGAGAGGTTAATTTGGATCAAGGCTGCTGAGGGTGGACGATGTATTTTATGTGGAGCATCGTGTGTGTGTCCTGTTGGAGATCAGGCAGTGTAATAAAATGTGTAAGCTAAGCCTACCAAAGTCACTGTCAGAAAACGGGAAACTGATCGGAGCTAAAGGATGCGGTAAGTGGAAGAACTGAGAGGAGTCAGTGAGGACATATAATGAGGATTTTGTTCAGGGTGTGGCGGGTGATTGTGAGACTGAACGAAGCGGACAAAATGATGAAGGTGGTGGCACAGGCTTATGCTCATCCGTTTTCTTAGTCAATTAATGTTGTTTCGTCGTTGTGATTATGTCTGAGGTCCAGTACTCCCATCTCAGCTAATCGTTTGGCATTTCGAATAGGTGATGGTCTCCAGTTTCCTGCTGGATCTAAAACCTTCGATCTTCATGTCAATTGCATTTTCTGAAAGCTGGCATTCGAGGAGTCAAGCATGATCATGTGAGTATGCCCCCATGCATCGGTGAGCAAGAGGATGTTCTCTCTAGAATAGTGGCCCCCTTGGATGTTGTTATTATATACCTCCCAGCCTCTTTTTCAGGAGGCTGATTTCTGCCACACGCCTTGATGAACGAGCACGGGTGCACGTTCTTTTTTTTTTTTGCGGGCTGGCTCCACCCGCCTTTTTTACTTGTAGGCCAAGCCTCAAAGTCGTGGCGATGTAAGGCCGGGTCAGAACAACATGCCTGTAAAACCTTCTTTTTTTTTTTTTTTTTTTTTTTTTTTTGTGTGTGTGTGTGTGTCCAGTGTGCGGGTCCGCGTCCTGGTGGTTTAACAAAAAATTGAAAGCAAGGGCAGATAAAACCTCACACAAATGGGTGCAAAGAGGAACTCTTTTTTCGGCCCTGCTTTGGTTGTGTGTGTGCTTGGCTTTGCTACCCTCGGAATCGTCAAAATCAGAAGAACAGCAGAAGATGGGTCCTGATGGCAGTCATGGGAATGGCGGCAATCGGCAAATTCAAGGACTAAGGGTCTGGACAAGGGATGGACTTGATAACCTCCCCCGTCTACAACTATGACCGTCTTACCTCCTCCAGCCGTCTACAACTATGACCAGAGCACAAGCCTGGACTAGGACTAGAATCATATGAATAGGGTACTACCACAGGCCAGACCCCGCTTGCTGCTGCTTTTGTTTACCTTTGTAGCATGAAACCCATGTGTTTGAGCCATCTTGGCACTTATATAGTTATGGAAGACACAGTGCCACTAAGCACCAGTTCCTTCTTTGGTGCTGCTTTTTGCTAGCTTATTAGCATAGACCTGTCTTTGCACTCAGGAGATGTTTCCACTGTAGTTGAAACACGTTATAATAAAGGGCTATTTTCATAGGTTTGGTATATGCAGAGGCTGGGACGATGTAGTTGGGTGTACTTCACTGCGTTGGACAGAATCCCTTCACTGGTGCTATTTCCGAAGTGTGGCACACAACGCCATCCTCTCTGCTTCGGCATGCAGATGAGGGAGTTTGTCCTTGCATCCAGATGCCAGGGCGAACCACTGCTGTTTGCTGCTGCTTTTGGTTAGCTTTGTAGCATGAAACCGATGGATGGCGCTGCGTGCCACACTTTGGCACCAGTAAAGGGATTCTGTCCAACGCAGTAGAAGTGCACCCAACTACATCATCCCAGCCGCTGCATATACCAAACCTATGAAAAATAGCCCTTTGTTATAACGTCTTTCAACTGCAGTGGAAACATCGTATCCTTCCATCACTGGTACAGGGAAATGCCAGTGCTCCATCTATGAAATCTGACGACCGGTGAACAAAATTTCTGTGTCTGTTTTGCTGGACCTGCGGAGCATCTGTCTTTTCCATCCCTTGCATCGACCAGCATTGTACCTTTCACTACTTGATCTTTAATCACCACTTGAAAGTTGAAATGGATGATCTTCCCAGCCCTTTGTCACTACCTTCTTTCACTGCCTTTCAGTGATCATCCATGCCAAACATATGTCAAGGTTGCCGGTCTTCCGCTTTCTCCAAAGATGTTTTCGATAACGAAAACTTGCTTCGGTCGTTCCGTGAATGTGGTACGTACTATGTACTTCCCTCCAATGCTGCCACAGAACTATAGACAGCCCCAATGCTGCACTTCCCTCCAATGATCCGCGTAGTCAAGCCGGTTCTCAAACCGGTTCCGAATTTCATTACTGGACTGACACCACAGATTGCTTTGGTACAATAGTCTTGCACAGCTGTCATCGACAGCCATCTCCGTGACACTCGTCTTTTCGTGAGAGAATGTCAATGCATCGTCGTATGGGTACCTGTTTTTGTCATTCAGCGCCTGTTGCATTCGCAATTCACTGTCAACTACGGTCTTATCGGCCTCGAAAAGACTGAGAGAAGACACCAGTTGTTGCAGTATGGTGTAGTGTCAAGAACCTGGATCCCAATGCTTGATAGCTGGCGGCCAGATTATCATCGGTCCGATAACAGAATCAGCTCAGGCTTGACAGAATCGCAAGCACCTTAATGTCCTATGCTGCCAGATGATGACGATATCATGGGATGGCCTTCTACCCCAAAGACCATGGAGCAATGGAACCACTACGAGCAAACACTTTGATCGCTATCCCTCTGTTCTTTAGTGCGTAATAAATACTGTGTGCTCACTGTGCTATGAAAACCTCCTCTGGGTGCTTCACTCGACGGAGCGTGAAAATAAATTTCTTGCTTTTTTTTTGGTTTTCAAACTAATCCTCCACTCTGTTAATGTGGGGAACTATCTGCTGGGGACCGGGTCCATTGTCCCTTCGAAAACCGCAGATGACAAACGGGCTCCAGTATGGCACAGAAAGCACCCAACTGTAGAAGTAAGTACCTCCACAAATGCCAGACTGGGAGAGTTGTTGTGGAGGGTCTAGGTCTGTGCATCCCTTAATTCGGATGGAATGTTCCTTCTGAACAATCCTCCCCCCCTGCCCCCCCCCCACCCGCAGGACCAGATATTTGTTAATTTTGTTTATCGTTGAAGTATCAGGGCTGGGCCCGTTATCTCCTGAAAACCAGGTCCAGCAAACATCTCTTAGTTTCAACCAAACCTGAGGTCCAACCTCCTATTCCAATAGAGATGCCAGGGACATTACGATAGCATTCATTGGCCGTTCAAGGTCTTGACTCTGCTTCAACATCCTCCACTGCTTCACAAAATTTTTCAACGTAGTTACATAGATAAAAAAAAAAATTAAGAAAGGTTGTCGGCGTTCAGATGCATGATCAGGTGGCCAACCCTCTAATCTATTGTAATTGTGATTGCAATTCTGCCTGTTCAATCTGCAATGACGTTTGTGATTGGCAGTGCAGTTCCCATCGGCCACGGATGCCAGTGATTAGTCCCAGCTCATCTCTCCATCCGACCGACAAATTCATGATGCGACCTGAGCAGGCTATTCAACTTAGTCATATTGATATTTGCAACAGAACTTGAGAGTGGGCAGGCTACCCCAGACAGTATCGATTGCTGCTCCACCAGGGGGGACGGCATGCCATTACTTGCTCTACCCATATTTTGTTCGAATTTCAAATACGTTCTGCTACTGACCGACCCTGAAGATCAATGGCAAACACTAGCACTTGGTGTCAAGGATGTCTTGCTGCGGGCCTGGAAAGGCGTTCGCAACATTGATTTTTGCGTGGTCCTGTTTAACTCAACGGAAGCACGATGATGATAATTGCTAGGTTCATACTACTACATCTGTCTCTTATACACATCTAGATGTGTATAAGAGACAGCCCTAAGGCTGCGGTCTAGTGGGGTTCCGCGTCTGTGTCAAGGTGTCGCATTTTCGGCGGCGGGCGACCAAGACGCAAAGTGGGTTGTTAGGGGGGAAAAAAATTGGAGGACTAGTCCTTGACGAAATTGCGGACTACCTACAGCTAACTCGGGTAGAACCGAGACTTTTGGAAAACGGAAGGACCGGTCCTCGGGTGGAAGTGGACCCCAAAAAGAAGTGGGGGGCGTTGGACCGGTCCCCGGGTAGAAGTGGACCCTAAAAAGAAGTGATGGCATGTGAACTGCAAAAGGGCCCTCAGGCCCAGGCATTGAGCCCCGTCTTCTCAAAACAGGGAGTTCAGGCACAACGAAATAGGCGTTTTGCAAGAGGCAACTTTGCCGATTTTTTGTTCTCGGACGATCATGCACAAAATTCTGAAAATTTGAAAATCCATAGATGAGGTCGTGTTCTTTCCAAAAATAATAATAGAACATTTACAAAAAATCATTTACACTGCGAAATAATTATCGCGCCGATATGACACATTTTCCATTTTTGCTACTCAGCCATGCATGGGCCAACTAAAAAAGTACTCCAAATTCAGTGAGCTTTCACGCTCAGAAGAATGCGTGAAAAAACCTGAAAATTGGAGTACTCGTAGATTTTGTTGTGATCTTTCCAGGAAAAACGGTAAATAAATTAAAAAAAATCATTCCAACTGCAAAATAGATCGTGGCTGCAATTTGACCCATATTTCAATTTTGCCATTCAATCTCTTTTTTTCTCTCTCTCTCTCTCTCTCTCTCTCTCTCTCTCTCTCTCTCTCTCTCTCTCTCTCTCTCTCTCTCTTGTGTTAGCTCTTAGTCTCATTGATTGGCTACCTTAGGGCTGCGTTCCCCGCGCCCACGCTGTAGACAATTTTACCCCTCGATGCTGCGGCCGCGCACCCGGAAAATGATAAACCTTCAGGGATTGCGAATGTGCCGGACGGCACGATTGCGCATGACCTGGGCGTTGGTTGGACCCATCTCCCGGTTATTTGTGGACCCATCTCCCGGTTATTTGCGGACCCATCTCCGGGTTATTTGTGGACCCATCTCCCGGTTATTTGCGGACCCATCTCCGGGTNCCATGCTAATCTTCTCTGTATCGTTCCAATTTTAACGGATGTCCCGAAGCACTGGCCACATGAGATCCTATGTTTGGCGACACCCGTACTTCCTTTCCCCCCTCCTACCCACCCAGTGAAGTGGCCAAGTTAGATTTCAAGCAGATAATTCCTCCTTTTTTTTCCCCCTCATTGAATGAGGGATTTTGTTTTCTTTTCTCTGTCTCGTCCTTCAAAAAAAAAAAGGGTAATGGCATGGAGGGTATCATAATCGAACTTACCAACCTCCGATAATTCAGAGTGATCCCACTCATCCAATCCAATCTGGATTCGAACTCAGGTCTGTTTATCAACAGTTCATGGGTGTTGCGAAAGTGGGGACACCCACCCATCCGACATCCATTCCGACACCCAAGTTCTTTCTTCTTTTGAGATGAGAATGAAAGACCGCGAAACTGGGGACACCCATCCATCCGCAGGGCTGTCCATGCCTCGTAGGCATAATCTGACCGTGGCGAAATCCAAATTGATGCAGCCTCGTCATTTAGGTGAGGGGGGACTGATGATCTCATCGATTTAAGCCATGTTGCCTGATGACCACCAAGAGATGCTTCATATATTGCAGTACATCCCTTTATGACTCGGCCAATGCAGCCCAAAGGAGGTCATGTCACCATAACATTTGGCCTTTCACCACCTCATGGAGCAAATAAAGTGTGTAATGATCAACAACCTGTACCTCGTTGGCAGACGTACTCTTAGAAACTGCATTTGCATCTCATTTGGGTTTTCAGGCATAAGTGAGGAATTTTTGATTTGTCCTATG